TTTTGTTATGGACGTTCATGACTTCTTTTATATTGTGGATTGTATTGTTAATATATATCATGTTGTTGCAAATATTTTCTCAGTCTGTCTTTTAATTTGTTTAAGATTATTCAATGTTCATAAGGTTTTTATGTTCATCTATTATAAATATCCATTTTTTCTGATTTATTCAATTGACAAATTGAGAAATGTGGTTGATAATTTCGAACATTATTGAAGAAGACATCAATAAAACAAAACATAGACTAGCAATTACAAAACAGAAAAGCAGCAATGAAGTTTTGTTTGTTTTTGTTTGTTTGTTTTGTTTCTTGAGACAGGGTTTTGCTCTGTCACCCCAGGCTGGAGAGCAGCAGCATGAACACAGCTCACTGCAACCTTGACCTCCTGGGCTGGGACAATAGGCGTGAGCCACCACACCTGGCTAATTTTTTAACTTTTTGTAGAATGGGGATCTCATGTTGCCAAAGCTGAACTTGAATTCCTGGGCTTAAGTAATCGTCTTGCCACCTCAGCATCCAAAGTGCTAGGGCTATAGGCATGAGCCACCATACCCAGACACAATGAAATATAAAAACATATATATTACATGTAACATGCTATAGTAAAATATATAAAATAATGAAAATGGATTGAACTTCTTAAACTTCCCTATTAAAATACAGTGGCTCTCAAGCTAGTTAAAGAACACCTATGCACTCACAACCATATACACACACAGCCTATGCAGGTTATAAAACCAAAATAAGCAAAAACAATGAAAGCAAAAATATAAGGAAAGAGATACCAAGAAATTAAAATAAAAAGAAAGCAGGGATTAATAACTGACAAGGTATAATTTAAAGTAGGAAACAAAAAGTAGTGCGAAAATCTCCACTTCATTGATAAAGCTGCACTATAGTATGAATTGTATAATTTTATTCATAAACATTAGATAAACATATATAGACCAAAACATAACAGAACAGCAAGAAGAAAATTGCAGAAACCATTGTAGTGGGGAGTTATAACACATTTTCCTCTTTGTTGGGGAAAATAAGTAATATTTGAATGTAGAGACAGCTGAGTAATACAATTTGGGGGTTCCCAATCCCCACGCCACAGACCAGTACCTGACCATGGCTTCTTCGGGACTGGGCCACACAGCAGGAGGTGGCAAGTGGGGATGGGTGGGGGGTGAGTATTACTGCCTGAGCTCCACCTCCTGTCCGTTCAGCAGCAGCATTAGATTTTCATAGGAGCAAACTCTACGTGAACTGTGCATGCAAGGGGTCTAGGTCGTGAGCTCCTTAAGAGAATCTAATGCCTGATGATCTGAGGTGGAACAGTTTCATCCTGAAACCATCCTCCCAACCCCCATCCACAGAAAAATTGTCTTTTACAAAATCTGTCCCTGGGGCAATTGATATGATTAACATCTCTTATGTAATAAATACTTATAAAATTATGTATGCTTCAAAATCACATGCTATCTTTTTTAATGTGCCTGAAATATTTATTAGAATTTAATAGCTTGTCAAAAAAATAAGTTTAAGAAATCATAAATTCAACAGGCCTTATCAGTCTCTTAGCATAAAGCAAACAAAATTAATTTAAAAATTTAAGTTTAATAATCTCCTAAAATATCTTTCGAGTGAAAGGGGAAATCCACTGTATGTGTATACCACATTGTGTTTATTCATTCACTAGTGTATGGGAATTTAGGTTATGTCCACTTTTTGACTATTATGAATAATATACTGCTATGAACATTTGTGTGCAAATTTTTATGTGAACACATATGTCCAATTCTCTTGGATATATATCCAATATTGAAATTGCTAGGTCATATGTAACTCTATTTGTAAGTTACTGAGAAATAGTTTTCCAAAGTGGCTGCATTTTCCATTTCAAACAGCAATGTATAAGGGTTCAACTTTCTCTGCATTCTCCCCCACAGCTGTTATTGGCCATCTTTTTAATTATACAGCCATCATAGGGGTGTGAAACTGCATCACTTGTTTTGTATTTTTTGTTTTCATTTCCTTAGTGACTAATGATGCTGAGCCTTTTTATGTACTTCTTGATTATTTATATATCTTCTTGGAAGAAATGTCTATTCAAATGTTTTACCCATTTTTACTTGTGTTGTCTTATATTGTTCAGTTTTGAGGTTTCTTACATATTCTGGATACAAGTCCCTTATTGGTTATATGATTTGCAAACACTTTCATCCTGTGGGTTGTCTTTTCACTTTCTTGATAGTGTCTTCTGAAACAGAAAAAGTTTTCTTTTTGAGGAAGTCTAATTTATTATTATTACTTTTTTGGGCCACTTTTTTCTTTGGTGTCATATCTTAGAAGGCTTTGCCTAACCCCACAAATATTTACCACAACATTTTCTCCTAAGAGTTTTATAGTTTTGATTTTTATATTTATGTTGAGTTGACTTTTAAAATCTAAACCTAGTGGGTACAAGTGCAGTTGTGTTATATGGATATACTGCATGGTGGTGGAGTCTGGGCTTTTACTGTAACCATGGCCAAAATGGTGGACATTATATCCATTAAGTAATTTCTCATCTCTTAATCTCCCTTCCCCCTCATCCTTCTGAGTCTTCAGTGTCTATTATTCCACTCTCTAGGTCCATAGGTACACATTTTTTAGCTCCCACTTATAAGTGAGAACATGCAGTATTTGACTTTCGGTTTCTGAGGTACTTCACCTGGAATAGGCCTCTAGTTCCATCCATGTTGCTGCAAAAGACAAGTGTTTATTCTTTTTTAAGGCTGAGTAGTATTCCACTATTTAGTATACCATTGAATAGTATACCACATTCAGTATGCCACTGAATAGTATACCACATTTAGTATGCCACTGAATGGTATACCACATTTAGTATACCACTGAATAGTATACCACATTTAGTATGCTACTAAATGTGGTAACATTTTCTTCATTCAGTCATCCAATTGTGGACACTTAGGTATATTCTGTGTCTTTGCTGTTGTGAATGGTGCTGTGCTAAACATGTAAGTGAAAGGTGTCTTTTTGATTAAATGATTTCTTTTCCTTTGGGTAGATACCCAGTAGTGTGATTGCTGGATCAAATGGTAGTTCTAATTTTAGTTTTTTGAGAAATATCCATACAATTTTCCATAGAGGTTGAACGAATTTATATTACCACCAACAGTGCATAAGGGTTTCCTTTACTCTTCATTCTTGCAAACATCAGTGATTTTTTTAACTTTTTAATCATAGCTGTTCTGACTGATGTAAGATATCTCATTGTGGTTTCAGTTTGCAGTTCTCTAATGATTAGTGATGTTGGGGCATTTTTTTTTTCATGTGCTTATTGGCTATTTGTATGTCTTCTTTTGAAAAACGTCTGTTCATGCCCTTTGCCCACTTTATTTAAAATTTCACATTCTATTTTCATGACATTAGGTTTGGAGAGGGAAAGGAATCATGAGTATATGCAACTGTGCTCTTTCCAATATCACAGCTGGATACAAATCCAAGTACAAATTGTCTTTTAAATTCAGGACCTGGTTCCGAGTCAGCAGAGGTGGAGCACTGCTGCTGGGAAGTGGGATCTGAGAAGACATGTTCTTCCCAGTGCTGGTCCAGTGTCTGATGCAGGGCCTTGCCCTAAGGACAGGGATAGGGTTTGCTCTTGGGCCTCTGAGTGGCCTGGAACTGTTCTGTTAAGTCCTATAAGCTCAGCAGCATCTGGAGACACTGTTGCCAACTCTCCTTCTTGTAATTGTGATATTATATCGCAATCAGATCCTGGATTTGTGACTTGTTGTGCTTGATATTTGATATTTCACATACCAGCAAGGGGCCTGGAGCATCTCACAACCAGCTCAGGGTTGCCATGGTTATGCTTGCCCCTTTGGACCACTTTGTAATGAGGTTATTTGTGAGAGGTTTTTGGTTGTTGTTATTGAGTTGTTTCAGTTCCTAGTAAATTCTGGATATTAGTCCTTTGTCAGATGTGTGGTTTGCAAATATTTATTCACATTCACATTCTGCAGATTATCTGTTCATTCTGTAGGTTTTGTTTTTTTTTTTTTTGAGACAGAGGCTCTCTGTCATCTAGGCTGGAGTGCAGTGGCATGATCTTGGCTCACTACAACCTTCACTTCCCAGGTTCAAGTGATTTTTGTGCCTCAGCCTCCCAAGTAGCTAAAATTACAGGCTCCTTCCACCACACCCAGCTAATTTTTGCATTTTTAGTAGAGACAGGGTTCTGCCATGTTGTTCAGGCTGGTCTTGAACTCCTGACCTCAAGTGATTCACCCACCTTAGCCTCCCAAAGTACTGGACCACCATGCCTGGCCAATTATTTATTTTGCTGTGCAGAAGCTTTTTAGTTCAATTAAGTCCCATTTGTCTATTTTGATGTCCTACTGCTTTTGATGTCCTGGTCATGAATTCTTTGCATAAGCCAATTTTTTTTAGTTAATTTTTGTATATGTTGGGAAGAGTCCAACTTCACACATCTGCAGGTGAATATCCAGTTGTCCCAGCACCATTTATTGAAAATGTTATTCTTTCCCTATTGAATTATTTGGACACTCTTGTCAATTGATCAAATATGTTAGAGTCTATTTCTTGATTCTTGCTTCTGGTATATACGTCTATCCTTATACTAGTAACATACTATCTTGATTACTGTTGCCTGTAGTAGGTTTTGAAATTGGTGTGCATAAGTCCTCCAAATGTATTCCCCCTCTTCAAGATTGTTTTAGCTATTCTGGGTCTCTTGAAATTTCCATACGAATTTTAAGATCAGCTTGCCAATTTCTGCAAAAAAGGCTGCTGGAATTTTTATAGAGACCATTTTGAAACTGTATTATCTGTGGAATGTTGCCATCTTAACAATATTAAGTCTTCCAATCCATGAGCACAAGATGTCTTTTCATTTATTTAGATATTTAATTTCTTTCAATGATGTTTTGTAGTTTTTCAATGTATAAAATTTATACTACCTTTGTTAAATTTCTTCCTAAATAGGTGTTCTACTTGGTGTCATTATAAATGAAGTTATTTGGGTGAGCGCACGGCTGCTGGATGGAGAAATTAGCGGAGTATGGAAAGACATGTACAATGACACATTAAATGTCAGTACAGAGAAAAGGAGTGCAGAATTGCCTGATGCTGTGGGACCTATTGTTCAGTTACAAGAGAAATCTTATGTGCCTGTAAAAGAATACCCAGATTTTAATTTTGTTGGGCGAACTCTTGGACCTAGAGGACTTACAGCCAAACAACTTGAAGCAGAGACGGGATGTAAAATAATGGTCCAAGGCAAAGGCTAAATGAGGGATTTAAAAAAGGAGGAGCAAAATAGAGGCAAGCCCAACTGGGAGCATCTACATGAAGATTTACATGTACTAATCACTGTGGAAGATGCTAAGAACAGAGCAGAAATCAAACTGAAGAGAGCAGTTGAAGAAGTAAAGAAATTATTGGTACCTGCAGCAGAAGGAGAAGACAGCCTGAAGATGCAGCTGATGCAACTCTGGGGCTGAGAGGCAGGGAAATGGGAGGAGACACCCCCACCTCTGGCTTCTTGAGAATGGACAGTCCCTGGTGCAAGTGGACTGGGCTCACAGTTTCTTGAATGCCCATACTTAAAAGAAAAACACACCATACCGCATGGATAGGACTAAATCTATTATGCATAAACTTCTCCATTATCGTATATGAATCCAAGAGCCATCGTGAAATGAAATTTACATCTGTATTATTAATTACCAGTTTCTTTGTCCTGTAAAGGTGTTCTACTACGTCCATCAACTCAGAGGCTATCATTTCTGTATTGATCATTTAAAATGCACCAAAATCAGAAAGTAATAAGATTTCAAATTCAGGATGATTTCTCTTTTCCCACAAGAGCGAATTCTACCCGTGATGATATCATATTCTTGCTTCTGAAAGGAATAAACCTTTGAAAATAAATGCGTGGTTGTTCCAGTTACAGAAACGGATTTTTTAAAGCCTGAGGCATGTGATCATTACCATATGTGGATAGAAACATGGCAGAGGGTTTTTCAGTAAAAGTTATACCCCAAACAAATAACCTTGTTGCAAAAGAAACTTCATGCTTCTGCTCAGAGACAGGTGTCTCGCTAAAATTATTTCTCAATTATCTGTTCCTTCACAGTGGAGATGCCATCGTCTCTGAAAAATCTACTAATTATAACAGCATTATCCAACAAGAAGAAACAGTGAGTGTTGAATCAAATAGATTTTCTATAATAGACCCCCAACCCAGCAATACTCAGTGATTGCTTAATTCGATGCAGCCATTTTTCTGTGTGTAATGTTCTTTCTCCAGGTAGCCCCTAACCATTCACCCATCTGGCCATGAACACTGAGTGCTCACCACCTTCCACACGCTGTGCCAAGACAGACATAGCCCCTGTCCTTAAGGAACCTACTGTTCGGCTGTACATTCCCTGCGTAACTGTGTTTCTTCAGCTAAAATTAAAAAGGATATATAGACTGTTGGCAATAAATGTGTCTGAAGTGTCTCCCTATTACAGTTATAGCTGTTTGAATTAGGACACCAGAACTATGAATAATAATCTATGAAATCATGAGCTGATTTTATTTTAGTGGGCCAAAACGATATGGCAGTACTTGGATACTGTCTTAGCGCGAGCTGCAAATTGTCATAGACAGGGTGGCTTCGGCACCAAACATTTATTTCTTACGGTTCCAGAGGCTGGAAGTCCCAGGTGCCAGCATGGCCAGATTAGGGGAGGGCCTTCTTTCAGGTTGCAGACGACTTCTCAGTGTGTCTCACATGGTGGAAAGAGAGGGAGCTAGCACTAATCTCATTTATGAGAGCTCCACTTTCATGACCTAATTGCCTCCCAGAGGCCCCACCTCCAAACCTCCAAATACAGTCACATTGGGATTAGGGTTTTCTTTTCTTTCTTTTCTTTTTCTCTTTTTTTGAAGACAAAGTCTCGCTCTGTTACCCAGGCTGGTGTGCAGTGGTTCTAGCAATTCTCCTGCCTCAGCCTCCTGAGTAGTTGGAATTACAGGTGCCCACCACCATGCCCAACTAATTTTTGTATTTTTAGCAGAGACAGGGTTTTACCATGTTGGCCAGGCTGGTCTTGAACTCCTGACCTTAAGCGATCTATCCCCCTCAGCCTCCCAAAGTGCTGGGATTAGAGGCATGAGTCACTGCACCCAGCCGGGATTAGAGTTTTAACATATGAACTAAGGGGGTTACCAATATTCTTTCCAGAACAGATACTGTCTTGTTAACAAGTGTCATTGAACAGATAACCTTTTATAAACCTGTTTTGTGACTAGCCATCTTGAGGGCTGAATGGGTTGTGAAAATAGAGCAAAAACCAAAGCCCCTCTACTTAAGCAGAACACAGTTTTGTAGTCGGGAAGCTAAGACAGACATGGAACAATGGGCACCATGTCGAGTGGCCAGTGCAGGCCATGGGTGGTTTGGGAATGCCAAATTGGGGGTGAGGGAGAAGGGCTATGGGAGGAGAGCATGATTAGGGGGACCTGCCTGGAAGAGTGCGGTTCCTAATGCTGCTGTGACAAATTAGCACAAGCTCAGGGACTTAAAACAACACAAATTTATTCTCATACAGCCCTGGAAGTCATAATTCCAACACCATTCTTACCAGACTAAGATTAACATGTTGGCAGAGCTGTGTTCCTTCTGGACATTCTAGGGAAGAATCCATTCTTTTCCTCTTCCGGCTTCTAGAGGTCACTCTCATTCCTTGGCTCACAGCCTTCACCCCATCTTCAAAGCCAGCAAAGGCAGGACAGATTCTTCTCATGCTGCAGTCTGTCTGCCTCCATGCAGCTGGGGAAGGTGGCCCTCTCTAAAGCACCTTTGTGGTGACATGAGGCCATGTGGATAAGGCAGGAAAACTTCCCCATCTCAAGGTCCTTATCCTTAATCACATCTTCAAGGTCCCTCTTACCACACAAGGTAATATATTCATAGGTTCCAGGGTTTAGGACATGGACATTTTTGGGGTGGAGGGGCCTGATTCTGCCTGTCACACTGCCCTTGAGCTGGTCCTGGAGAGTTCCCTGGCTCCTCTCTTAGGAGAGCATTCATTTTGAGGGTGTAGCCTGCATTGGAGCTGGGAGGTGATGACAAACGTGTGTGGAACCCAGCGTGTGTATGCTGGGGAGCAGCGCACTGGGAGAGGTAGGTGGAGAGGGCCAGAGGGCACAGAGCTTGTTGATGTTAGGTAGAGAACTTGAATTTGACCCAAGAGACTGTGGGGCACCATCAAGGCATCTTCAGAAGGAGAACAAAAGGATACATTTGCTTTGGGGCAATAATTCTGGGAGCAATGTCTTCAAGGATGCAGGAAGGATAAAAGGCATTCAGGAGAATTGATGGAGTAACCCAGAGGAGGCAGATGGTGCCTGGTAGAGCAGGCGATGGTGGGAAGGTGTCACACATCAGACTCCCAAGGGTGACACCTAGTAAGCACTCACTAAAGAGTAAATACATGAATGGTAGCATGCAACTCCAATGACATTTCTTGAGTTTATTGAAAATCTCAGAGTGCATTTAATATACCTAAATAATCTAATAGAATTTCTCACGTTTTTCTTTGTCATTGTTTTAGATATAGCTTTTTTGACACATATTTGTCATTATGCAGTATTTATTGATTTTATTTTTTAGAGACAAGGTCTTGCTCTTTTGCCTAGTCTGGAGGGCAGTGGCGTGATCACAGCTCACTGCAGCCTTCAACTCCTAGGCTCAAGTCATCCTCCCACCTCAGCCTCCTGAGTAGCTAGGAATACAGGTGCATGTCACCATGCCCAGGAAGTTTTATTATTATTATTTTTATTTTTATAGAGACAGACAGGCTCTTTCTATATTGCTCATGCTGCTCATGAACTCCTGGCCCCAGGCAATCCTCCTGCCTCGGCCTCAAAAGTTCTGGGATTATAAGCATGAGTCACCATGCTCAGCACAGTATTAATTTAAAAGTTGGTGGATTTCTAAAGACTGATATATAATAGATGTATATATTTTCTGGATACATGTGATATTTTGATAATGTATATATTTTCTGGATACATGTGATATTTTGATATATTTGTATACTGTGTAAAGATCAAATCAGTATAATTGGGATACCCATCACCTTAAACGTGTATCTTTATCTGGGGGCAGCCAGATTATTCTCTTCTGGGTATTTGAAAATATAAAATAGATTCTCGTTAACTATAGTCACTCTGCTGATTGATCGAAGCCTAGGTTTCATTTCTTCTGACAGTCTGTTTGAACCCACTGATCAACTTCTCTCCAGCCCCTTCTTCGCTTTGCTGAATTATTGTTCCTGCGCTGGAATTCCTCAGCATGCCTTCTTCTGCAGAGTCTCCCGCAGGGATCCACACTTTAGTGACTCTGTACTCTACTTTTACTTTAGATTTCTGGTTGTTTATGTTGCTAAGGAAATATTTCAATTTATGATTTAAAAAATATTGTTTGTGAAAGACCAATTCTTTTCACAGTTTTGAATGGAAGGATTATGCCTATAAGTAATGTCTATGGAGGAAGAACCCTCAGGGAATTGACTTCAAAAGCTCATGAATTTCCTCTTTGCTTTTTATTATGTTTTGTAATAAAATACTTATATATTCTCCTTGTAATCATTTCTTGATTATCCCAACAGTACATTGTCAGATGTCTTCCTCTGAGCAGGTGATGCTGTGTTGTATGTTCCATGTTGAAATGTAGAGATTTCTGCAGCATTCGACAAAGAACCATCTGCCTAAAGCTGCAGTTCTCAGCATGGACAAACAGAAGGCTCAGTAGGGAAGCTGGTTATACATCTAGAGCTCTGATCTCATCGGACTCCCTAGAGGCCTAGGAACATGGGTCTCAAGTGCCCCAAGGGATTCTGATGTGTTTGAAAACACGCCTTTGGGAGTGCCAGCAGTAGTAGTCACTCAAAAAACATTGACATAACCAAGAGGTCACGGTGTGAGTGCTATGGAAAATATGGCTGTAGTTGGGGCCTTGCAGTGTGAGCGGCTAGCCCAGAGTTGAAATTGAGGATTCCTCAGTTCTCTAACAGAAGCGCTTATGATCAGGTCAATGAACTTCATGGAATAGCTCATCCTTCTGCATGATGAAGTTAAGCATCACCCATACCCACTTACAAGTGGGTAATGATGAAGAGCCATCATCCAACAACTTTGAATAAAGCCAGTATTCTAAAGTGTGGTATGAATGAGGCTTAGGCAGCACCCAGTAGAGAGACCACTTTGATTTGTCAGCTCTCTGTTTCTGCTTTATATTTATTTAGACATCTGTACCCCTACGTCATTCCAACAGTATTAACGGGGGAAGTTTTAATGTGGTATCTTCATAATATCGTATACATAGTATTCATTTTCTCCAGAGAGAGTCGGTTGCTTTCATCAGACTCTCAAAGAGGTTCAGAATCACAACAGAGTTATGAAGGACAGATTTTAGGGCACTGAAAGGACAGTTGAGCATTCTCCCTAAACTCCCCCGATCCTCAGTGCAGTACTGGTTGATACCGGGACATCAGAGAGGAGGAAGACACAGTGGTGTCTGTTTTCTGGTGTGTGCCGCACTGCGTAGGATGACGGCTGAGCTCAATCCTCCTCTAAAGGGTGGGTGCAGGTGGTCAGAGAAGCTGACCTGCCCTCAGATGCCTTATAGACAGGAATGAACCAAAACCCACAGAAGCAATTCTGTAAGTGAGTAACTTAGTGAGGCTTGGGGTGCGTAAGGACTGAGCAGGCTAAGGATGGAATGCTGACCTTGGAACTATAGGGTCAGAGGGAGGGTCATGAGGTTGGAGAGAAAATGAAAAGTCATAGTCTGGCGTAGTAGAGTTGGCAGCTCAATTTTCAACTTGGAGGAATTCTTTCCTCCTACTTGATTGTAAGGGAAATTATTCAAAAGCAGTTTATGACAATGCTGAAGAAATATTTTTTAAATTTTTATTTATTTATTTATTTTATGTAGATGGTTCCATTGAAGCTGCCTCCTCACTGTTTCAAAGTTGTGAAGTCTATCAAATCTGAAATATATAGGTGAAATTTATTTGGATATTTAGTAAGAAGACACAGTCAAGATAAGAGGTGGGCAGGCATTGTTTTCAACAGATACTGTGATCAGTTCCCAACTAGCTGTATATTAGCTGTGCGTATTTGTTGGTTCCACCTTTAGTGTAGAATATTAAGCCAACCACTTCTCACCATTTTTCATCACTGTCATCATGCTCACTCAAGTCTCTGTCATCTTACTCCAAGAACTCCCTAACTTCTCTGTGGTTCCACTTTGCCTACCCCTAAATTCATTCCCCATTTATGATAACTAGGTGATCTTTTAAAACTGTAAATCAAACCAAGTCACTCTCTTGCTCAAATATTTCCTTTTGTTTTTTTATAGATATAGTGATTCTATCCTTGAGATCAGTATGGCTTTAGAATAAGATTATGCCAATAGGAATGGAAAAAGAGATGTAGAGGAAGAAGAATTTGTTTTCTTTTCTTTTCTTTTTTTTTTTTTTTTTAGAAAAAAAGGAGTGAGGGAGAGGAAGAGGAAGAAAAAGAGGGAGAGAAAATGGGAATGTAGCTTTATTCTAAAAATGGGTATTAAAATGGCCGATCAATATTTTGTTTATTTAAGGTGGAGAATGTATATTTTGTGTATTTAAAATGGAGAGCTCTATAAATATTTATTGAGTTTACTTGTTCCGGATCTGAGTTCAAGTCCTGGATATCCTTATTAATTTTCTGTCTCATTGAGTCTAAATCTCTTTATGAGTCTTATGTATCTGGGATCGTTAGCTCTTATTGTTGCATCGATCCTTTTACCACTATATCTTTGTTGCTTTGAAATCTATTTTATCAGATGCAAGAATTGCAACTCCTACTTTTATTTATTTATTTTTGCTCTCCATTTGGTTGGTAAATCTTTCTCCATCCCTTTGTTTTAAGTCTTTGTGTATCTTTGTATGTGAAATGGGTCTGGATGTAGCATATCGTTAGGTTTTGGCTGTATCTTTTGATTGGGGGATTTAGTCGACTTAAATTTAGGGTTACTGCCATTTGATGTTAACTGGCTATTTTATCCATTCGTTGATGTAAATTCTTCTTTATGCTGATGCTCTTTACTTTTTGGTATATTTTTAGAAAGGCTAATACTGGTTGCTCCTTTCTATGTATAGAAACTCATACCCTGTTTGAAACTCATACCCTGTTGTTCCTTTCTATGTATAATGCTTCTTTCAGAAGCTCTTGTAAAGCTCTTGTAAATGCTGAAGAAATCATTTCAAATAACGCTTTACTCAGACTAGAAGCCATCATGCCTCCCCGTGACGCAGGGAGGAATGTCACACTTCCTTTTGCCATGCCCAACTTTCGTCCTCCTTCCCATCCTGTCTGTAATTGGTTCATTTTTTTTGAAATGGAGTTTTGCTCTTTGACGCCCAGGCTAGAGTGCAGTGGCACGATCTCAGTTCACTGCAACCTCCACCTCCTGTGCTGAAGCAATTCATCCACTTCGGTCTTCTGAGTAGCTGGGATGACAGCTTAATTTTTGTATTTTTAGTAGAGATGGGGCTTTCACCATGTTGGCCAGGCTTGAACTACTGACTTCAAGTGATCCACCGTGCCCAGCCCTGTAACTGGTTATCCTAAAGGAAAGTCCATGCTCCTCATTTTCCTCATTGGCAATGGCCCTGATATTTCTATTATAACCAACTGTTGTTATGAAATAGGCAGGATGACCCAAACAGGGTATGAGTTTACTTTAAGAAGGAACAATTACATGGACAAGGATTGCAGAGGTATATGTGATATTAAATAACTCATAGATAATAGTCTTATTATACATTGCTATACAGGATTTGTAAATAGATGACCCCAAGAGTCATTTGGGTAATATATTAAATCCTAACCCTTTCCTGATGGCCATTGTTCATAGAATTACAGATGAAAATTAGCAGCATTTGGAATAAAATATGAGGGGAAATCTGCTGGAATCGGTAATGTGTGCAGAGGTGTGGCTAAAAGGTTATATACAATATTAACTTAGAGTAGTGTGATCATAAGATAATTTATATGCCAGAAAATAATGTATTTTACTTTAAAGACATAATCCACTGCAAAAATGAATTTTAGTGTGAAGATCATTCACCGATGAAAACAGACCCAGTTGGATCCCCTTTGTCTGAATTCAGGAGATGTCCATTTTGGGAGCAAGAACTGGCAAAGAAATACTTCCATAAAATGGTAGGTTTACACTTGTGGGAGCTTAGCCTTTCATGCTGTGTGATGCATAGGGCAGTAAATAGCTTCCTTTTGTGCCTGTGGCCATGGTTGTGTCACATGGAATTTTATTTGCCTTTATGGGACAGTGAAGGCCAGCAATCTTCCCTGGCTTAATGGTGCTCAGGAAGTTCAGGGCTCCCTATCACATCCAATGGCAAGGTTCCTCCTGGGACTGCTTCTTCCCCAAGACAAAAAAAAGGAGCAGATACATGGATTTTCTAGAAATTAGGGCTGAGGATTACTGGGGGTGGGGGGGAAATTGAAGTTTAGAGAAAAAGGTGTCAAAGTTTGGTGGCCTTTGTAGTGGTAGAACAAATCTGCAAACATGAGTTACAATATTGAAATGAAAGGCATACATGAACTATCACCCTAGAAGGTCTGCATTACTTTATAGAAACAAACAAACAAAATGCTGTGGTCCAAGTGAGGAGCCCAGCTATTGTCATATGAGAATTGCAACAAGAGCAGCCAGAATCTTTTGTTCACTTTTGAAGGGTGAACACAGAAAAAAATTAGAAAGGAAACAAGAGGTAGAAGCGATATGGGGAGAGAGGGTGGGCTCACGTACTCTACTGCAGTAACTCCGGTGAGGAATTAGACATTTCCTGCCATCCCAAGTCTGCTCTGTGAACTTCCTTATTTGTTTCTTTCAGGAAGTGAATAAGAAGATATCCGTTATTCAAATAATTCAATTGCATCAAATGCCATGACATTGGAACAACATCATCATAACTTTACCTTTAATATACCAATAAAATAATCAGCTTGCAATTTTTTTGAGTTACATAATCTTGTAGAAGAGATATATTTTGTTTTTTTTTTATTCTTTTAGCATTCTGTACACTGAAAAATGACTGAAACTTAAATGTGAAAGAACACTTCACAATTAAATCCACAATTGTAAACATTTATCTTACATGTCAGTGAAAAATCACCAATTATTATAAAAACAGGACAAATTACATCGCAAAAGCAGCAAAAATTAGAAAAAAAATTTCATAAAAAAATATATCCGACTATGAAAACTGTTGCTCTCTTGGTGTCTTCACATCCCTCTCTTCTGTGTACTGATGTACAACACATTGTTTCCTCGGATAAATGCGTCCCCATACTTATTCTTCAGTTGTCCATTTACATATTCCTCTGCCTGCTCCAGGGCTATATTCATGTAGCCATCCAGGCAAGCCGGGACCCCTCGATAATCCACCAGAATTTAATTTTACCACAACTGGTAGTCCAATGATTTGCTTTAAGAAGTCACTAGGGGTTTGCTTCCGAAGACTCATTTTAACAGTCCTCGTCGGCGGGATCCGGAACCCTCACTACAGGTGCCCCAGGAGCCCGGGCTCCCCGGACTTCATCGAGTCTAAACCGAAACCGGCGAGGCAGCGGTACTTTTCTCCAGCTTGCAATTTTTGATTGCGGTCTCTTTCTCAGTGTTTGTGAATGTGGAATGTGAGGATCAAGAACACATAATAAAAACATCTAGGATCACTTCTCCTTAATTGTAATTAGTTTAGTTTTCCTCCTCCTTAATCCTAATTTAGCCAGCTTCCATGAAAAAATGTTGTACTGTTTCTCTACTTCCAATTTCTATTCCCCGCACCAACCAAGATAGAGTCTCATTCTATTGCCTGGGTTGGAGCGCAGTGGAGCTGTCTCAGCTCATTGCGACTTGCATTTCCTGGGTTCAAGCTACTCTCCTCCCTCAGCCTTCAGAGTAGCTGGGATTACAGGTGCCCACCATCACAGCCAGCTATTTTTTTTTTTTTTTTTTTTTTTAGTTGAAATGGGATTTCACCCTGTTGGCCAGACTAGGCTCGAACTTCTGACTTCAAGTAATCCGCTTGCCTCGGCCTCCCAACGTGTTGGACTTATGGCCATGAGCCACCACACCTGGGCCATCCCTGACTTCCACTGCACAAATTGAAATTTTAACACTGTTTTTAGATTATCTAGTGATATTCCAGTAATCTAAAGGATAAAAAACAGAACAAATGCAAAAAAGTCCCAGAAGCTGAAAGAAATCCTTATAATTTTGAAGAAACTGAGTTTGGTTTTCAAGGGAATGAATATGGTTGTATGCTTCTTATCGCCAGAACCCACTCTATTCCATTTACCCAATTTTAACAGTGATCCCTTCTCCCCCTCCTGATGTTCTTCACCATTCTTCAATGAAAACTGAGTGGATTTCATCAAGGAGGCAGCATGGTTTTAAGGAGCAAAGAATTTGGACACTCTCAGCTTTTAGTTAAGACATAATTCTTTTTCTTGCTAGCTTTGGACGCTTAAAAAGCTAGTTGGTCTCTCGGAGCTTAAATTTCCTCATCTATAATGAGAATAATCATAGCAATTACCTTAGAGAATGAAGACTGATGAGATAACATACATACCAAACACCTTGCAGAGATTGGCATATCTGCTTCTCAAGCAAGGAGGGTTCAATATTAGAAAACTGCCCATGTGCCCACTGACAGCCTCAGAGAATTCACGAAGAAGTGAGAAAAAGCAGAACAGAAGGATCTCACCATAACCACCGCCAAGTTGACCGGCCCACATTCAGTTCAATTCCAGGTCTCTGGCTTCTCTCCTACTATCATAGGTGAAGTCTCCCTACCCCCATCTCTCACCTTCCCTCTTGATTCTGTGCCACATTACCCAATCGAGGATTTTGCTTCTGCATGTGACCCTTTTGTCTCCTGATTCTTACATCTATACACTATGAAATTATTTCCACCAGCAAAGACCTGCTGAAACATCACCCATTTGTACAGGGGGCTTCCTAAGACTCTTAGTGCTTCTTTCCTGCCATAGTATTTGTCTGCCATTTTTATTGCAAAAGTTCTTAACACATATGTATATAGTTATTTGCCCATCCCCTCATATCCTATTTTTTTTTACACACACATTAAATATGCTTTTGTTCTTTCTACTCCACGTATGTCTTCTAGTGCCCCCATTCCACTTATTTTAGGAATCAGTTCTCAGTCCTGCATCTCCTGTGACCCCTCAGCAGTTTAACACCATTGATCCTACCCTTGTTTTGGGAACGCTCCATCAATCTTTCCAGGAACCTCCCACTCTCTCCTGGGGTTTCTCCCACCTCTGCCTCTTCCCTCCTTCAACTACAAAGTTCTTCCTCTTCCAACTCTATTTGGTCTTAGTAAATAATTCACCTAATTAACTAAGCAAACTAGGATTTATTCTTGCCTATTCTCTTTTCCTATTACATCACATTACATCTAGTCAAATTAGCTATGTGATCATCGTGAGGTTCAAGCTTCAGAGTCATTTCCTACTGCAGCCAGTTTCATCACTTCCATTTCTATCAGCCCATCTCAGCATGCCTCATCTGAAGTTACATCAAATAGCAGCCCTATTTATTTCCCAAAAGTGAATTCCCCACAGTAACCATTTAAAAATTTTATTACTTTTCTATGTTTTCCAGTTGATTGCCACAACTCTTACTCTCTAAAATCAAGATGGTAATTTTTTGCTATGCTAAGGTCCTATGTATTGAGCTGCAATTATCTCTGGAATTGGGGGCTGCTCTGTACTTAATTCATCCTGCTATGGCCACACTGGTCATAGTCTTCTTTCTATGGTGGGGATGGAGGAGCAGCATGTCTAGATTTTCTGTCAATTTTTGAAAACTTTTATTTGCACCAATGTATGTATTACAAGTTTGGTTTTGTTACATACATTATATAGTGCTTAAGATATGACATTAGGGTATTCATTATTCAAATAAAAAGCACTGTATTTATTAATTAATATCACACTATTCAACGCCTCTGCTCCCACACATCCAAGTCGTCATTGTCTATCATATCACTCTCTTCATCCATGTAAGCACATTCTTTAGTAACCGCTTATGAATGAGAAAATGACCCCTAGTTCTATCCATATTGCCATAAAATATGTGATTTCATTCTCTCTTTATGACTAAGTAGTATCTCATTGGGTATATATAATTACATTTTTAATCCAGTCATTCATTCATGGATACTTTGGTTGATTCAATGTCTTTGTCACTATGAATGTTGCTACAATAAACATACAGATCAAGGTATGTATTTGATACACTGACTACTTTTCCTTTGGGAAGATAACCCAGTAGTAGGACTGCTCCATGGAAATGTAGTTCTAGTTTTAGTTCCTTGAGGAACCATACTGCTTTCCATAGAAGCTGTACTAATTTACATTCCCACCAAGGGCATGTAAGAGTTCTCCTTTCTCCATATCCTTGCCAACAGCTCTTTAGTTTTCACCCCTTTAATCATAGTCATTGTGACTGAGGTAAGATGATATCTCACTGCGGTTTTGTTATATCTATACTTTAACTTCTGGGATACATGTGCAGAACGTGCAGGTTTGTTCTATAGATATACGTGAACCATGGTGGTTTGCTGCACTCATCAACCCATCATCAGGTTTTGAGTCCTGCATGCATTAGGTTGTTTCTCCTAATGCTATCCCTCACCTTGCCCTCCACCCCCTGACATGCCCAGATATGTGATGTTCCCCTCCCTGCGTCCATTGTTTTCATTATTGAACTCACACTTATGAGTGAGAATACGTGATGTGTGGTTTTCTGTTCCTGTGCTAGTTTGCTGAATGATGGTTTCCAGCTTCATCCATGTCCTTGCAAAAGACATGAACTCATTCATTTTTATGACTGCAGAGTATTCCATGGTGTATATGTGCCACATTTTCTTTATCCAGTGTATCATTGATGGGTATTTGGATTGGTTCCAAGTCTTTGCTGCAATGAACACAGGTGTGCATATGTCTTTACAGTAGAATGATTTATACTCCTTTGAATATATACCTAGAAATGGGATTCCTAGGTCAAAGGGTATTTCTGGTTCTAGATCCTTGAGGAATTCCCACACTGTCTTCCACAATGGCTGAACTACTTTTCACTCCCACCAACAGTGTAAAAGCATTTCTATTTCTCCACAACCTCTCCAGCATCTGCTGTTTCCTGATCTGTTTTTTTTTTTTTTTTTTTTAGCTAGAATCTTGCTCTGTTGCCCAGGCTGGAGTGCCATGGCCTGATCTTGGCTCACTGCAACCCCCACCTCCCAGGTTCCAGGGATTCCTGTGCCTCAGCCTCCCGACTAGCTGGGACTACAGACACCTGCCACTGTGCCAGGCTAATTTTTATAATTTTAAATCTTATTTTAGATGGAGTCTCACCCTTTGTTGCCCAGGCTGCACTGCAATGGTGTGATTTTTGCTCACTGCAACCCCTGCCTCCCAGGTTCAAGCGATTCTCCTACCTCAGCCTCCTGAATAGCTGGGATTACAGGCATGTGCCACCATGTCTGGCTAGTCCTGCATTTTTAGTAGAGATGGAGTGTCACCTTGTTGATCAGACTGGTCTCGAACTCCTGACCTCAGGTGATCTGCCCGTCTCAGTTTCCCAAAGCGCTTGAATTACAGATGAGAGCCACCATGCTTGCCCTGTTTCCTGACTTTTTAATGAATGATCACCATTCTAACTGGTGTGAGATGATATCTCATTGTAGTTTTGATTTGCATTTCTCTAATTATCAGTGATGAGGAGCTTTTTTTTTTATTTGTTTGTTGGCTACAGAAATGCCTTCTTTTGAGACGTGTCTGTTCTTATCCTTCACCCACTTTTTGATGGGTTTTTTTTTTTTGAGATGGAGTTTCGCTCTTGTTACCCAGGCTGGAGTGCAATGGCACAATCTCGGCTCACCGCAACCTCCACCTTCTGGGTTCAAGCAATTCTCCTGTCTTAGCCTCCGGAGTAGCTGGGACTATGGGCACACGCCACCATGCCCAGCTAATTTTTGTATTTTTAGTAGAGATGTGGTTTCACCATGTTGACCAGGATGGTCTCGATCTCTTGACCTCGTGATCCACCCACCTCGGCCTTCCAAAGTGCTGGGATTATAGGCGTGAGCCCGGCCAGGATTTTTTTTTTTAAGTAGATTTCCTTAAGTTCCTTGTAAATTCTGGATATTAGCCTTTGTCAGATGGGTAGATTGCAAAAATGTTCTCCCATTGTGTAGGTCGCCTGTTCACTCTAATGAGAGTTTCTTTTGCTGTGCAGAAGCTCTTTAGTTTAAGTAGATCTCATTTGTCAATTTTGGCTTTTGTTTCAATTGCTTTTGGTGTTGTAGTCATGAAGTCTTTGCCCATGCCTGTCCTGAACAGTACTGCCTAGGTTTCCTTCTAGGGATTTTATGGTTTTAAATCTTATGTTTAAGTCTTTAATCCATCTTCAGTAAATTTTTGTATAATGCGAAAGGAAGGGGTCCAGTTTCAGTTTTCTGCATATGACTGGTCAGTGTTCCCGACACCATTTATTATAAATAGAAAATCCTTTCCCCATTACTTGCTTTTGTCAGGTTTGTCAAAGCTCAGATGATTGTAGATGTGTGGTGTTATTTCTGAGGCCTCTTTCCTGTTCCATGGGTCTATATATCTGTTTTGATACCAGTACCATGCTATTCTTGTTATTGCAGCCTTTTAGCATAGTCTGAAGTCAGGTAGCGTGATGCCTCCAGATTTGTTCTTTTTGCTTAGGATTGTCTTGGCTATATGGGCTCTTATATTCATTCCAATACTATGAAGAAAGTCAATGGTAGCTTGATAGGGATAGCATTGAATCTACAAATTCTTTTGTTTTCTTTTCCCTCGTGTCACATCAGAGGGTACCTGATGTTGCTGCATCTTGTTTGTAGGTGATATTCACTTGATCACAAAGTTCATGCAGTGTCTGCCATGTTTTTATATGGGAAAGTTATTAGTGTTATTTTTTGGTGTTGTTAACTTACTTTCTTTCTCTTCTTTCTCTCTCTCTCTCTTTTTCTCTCTCTCTTTTGATGGACTCTGGTTCTGTTGCCCAGCCTGAAGTGCAGTAGTGCAATCTCTGCTCACTGCAAGCTCTGCCTCTTAGGTTCAAGAAATTCTTATGCCTCAGCCTCCTAAGTAGCTGGGATTCCAGGCATGTACCACTATGCCAAACTAACTTTTTTTTTTTTTTGGCATTTTTAGTGGAGATAGGGTTTCACCACATCGGCCAGGCTGGTCTTGAACTCTTGACCTCAGTTGATCCACCCACCTTGACCTCCCAAAGTGCTGGGATTACAGGCATGAGCCACCATGCCCAGATGGTGGTGTTAACTTTCATAGATCAGGCATACTTTGGAGACAGCCCATTGAGTTTATGTCAATGTCCTGCATCTTTTCAGAATTCTGCTGAGAGATTTTAGGCTCCTTGGAAGATTCTTGTCTGCAAAGGTGATTCCTATATTTCTTGCTTCAATGTGATTCTTTATTTCCCTCATTCTTTCTACATTTATCAATTGGAAATCTTCCATAAGGATGACTGGTCCCTTCTTCTACACTTGTTTATTCATTCAGTTGTTTATTTCTGTCTGTATAGACTTGCCGATACTTACTTTATTGTATGGCTTCTAATTTAATACTATCAATACTCACTTTCTAGCTAAGATGCTTTCAGGTCTGGCCATTGGGAGCTCCTTGAGACAGGCTCCTGTGTCCTTCCAGCTTGCTCCATTTTTTAGTGAGCACCTCTTTGCTTCTGTAGACTGTTGTGGAAGTGGTCACCAAAGAAATGAACCCAGCAAGCCAGGCCTGACTCCAGGACATAACTGAAGGAGAGCTCACACAGGGACTAAAGCGTATTTTTCGTAATATGGACTTGGACATCTGGTGTGTAGAGGAGCAACGCTGCTAACCATCCTACTATGCACAACCTTCCTCCCTAAAGAATTATCCACTCCAAAATATCAGTAGTGCTGAGGTTGACAGCCCCAGGCTTTTACCCTGCCTATTAGATCTGGAGATCTAGGAGAATTTGGGATGCTTCATGGGGTCTTTTAACCAAATATGAATAAGATCACATCTACGTGTATGGAATGTAGTCAGAGATCCATAGAAATAAAAATGGTCTCAGTTTAGTCAAGAAAAGTAATGAAACTTTCTGAGAAAAGTTCTTTCTCTGTTTCTTTCATTTCAGAGGCAGAGTCTTACTGTGTCCCCCAGTCTGGAGTGCAGTGGCAGGATCATGGCTCACTGCAACCTGAAGCTCCCGGACTCAAGAGATCCTCATGACTCAGACTCCTGAGTAGTTAGGACTAGAGGTGTGCTCCACCAGCCTAATTTTTTTTATTTTAATTTAGTATTATTATTATTATTCCTGAAGAACAAGGAACTTGCTATATTGCCCAGGCTGGTCTCAAACTCCTAAACTCAAACCACCCTCCCACCTCAGCCTCCCAAATCATCAGAAGGGTTTTCTAAAAATGCCACTCAGTAGACACATCTATTTCTTCCAAAATACTTTTCTAGGTGATCACAGAAGTGTAGTTTTAGAACTTTATTGACAAAAAGCAGAAAATGTCCCCACACTCACCAGAAACTAGATAATAACAGGCCTTTTCTAAAATTTTTATCATAAAGTACAGAAGAAATAAAGGATATTTCAAGTTCCAATAAATCACAAGCTGTTTGTTTTATCAAAGACTCAATTTTATATCCACATATTTGCGATTAATGAAATCCTTTTACGCAGCTTTTCATTTTTTGTCCATTTTAATGGAACATATGCATTTGGATTTCCTTGGTGTCCAGGGAAGAGTGCATTTTTTTCTATACTTTACAGAATATAGCATTTATAACATTTTGAAGGGGTACCTCGATGTCAATTTCTCTTTCTTGCCATTTTATTGTTTCATATTTCCTCTCTCAGGTTTGGAATCATCTGGAAATAAAAAATTATCACATACATAGCAAGAATTATGATATTGTATAGGAGATCAGGAATGATTTATATATAATTCTAATATCATTAAAATATTAGGATGGGGCCTGGCACTGTGGCTCACACCTGTAATCCTAGCACTTTGGGAGGCCAAGACAGGCAGATCACTTGAGGTCAGTAGTTCAAGACCAGCCTGTCCAAGATGGTGAAACCCTGTCTCTACTAAAAACACAAAAATTAGCCAGGTGTGGTGGCATTTGCCACAGTCTGCTCTCAAACTTCTGGGCTTTAGCAATCCTCCTGCCTTGGCCTCCCAAAGTGCTGGGATTACGGGTGTGAGCCACTGCTCCCGACCTGCTTTGTTTTCAAAAAGTGAACCAGGTGTGGGAAGCTGATGATAGAAACTGGTTGCAGAAGCAGTAAGCCTCAGTGAAACCTCAATCAAGGAGGTGGGAGGCATCTCAGAGGTGCAGGGGTGAGCAGGATGCAGGGCTGTGATGAAACATAACAGCAGCCAATGTTAGCAAGATGGAGCGGAGCAAATGAGTTTCCTGGCCCTCTTCCAGCCATGCCTCAGCCCCAGCTTCCTGGCAGCTTCCTGCAGCCTGGCCAAAGGCAGTCTTTCTTCCAGAACCCCCACCTTCTGGGAGGGTTGAAGCTTGGATATAAAACAATATAAATGATTATTGAGTAAGGTCCTTTATCCAATACTTCACAAATCTTAGAGCCATTTGTTGGAAATTGATTAGATTTGTTCCCCAGAGTTAAATGAATTAGGCATTGATATAAGGCTCTCTCTCTTACTCTCAGTACACACATTATATATATATATACACAGAGAGAAAGAGAAAGAGGAGAGAGAGACAGAGAGAGAGAGAGAGAGAATCCTGTGATCATATAAATCAAAGGGCAATGAAATTTTTCTGCAGTCTGGAGGAGAGAATGTCAAAACTAGACAGAGAAAAACAGTCTCACCTGGTTGAGTATCAGCAAATTACACTTCTGTGGCTAAATCAAGAGCCATTTTGCCAAATGCCAGTGACCAAAATGCCAGATACTAGAAGCTATTGAATCTTCTCCGGAGCTTCAGCAGTGGTCTGCCTCATACCTGGCACCATTTCTTCCAGAGAAGGAGAGGACCTGAGAGGTGGTGTGGGGACAAGAGAGGGAAAGGACTTGAGGGACAAGGTCAGGCAGAAGAAAGAGAGGACCTTCAGTAGAAGTGCAAAAATAAGAGAGTCCCTTTCAATGTATCTTTGCTGCAGATGCTCAAAAAAGGCAGAAGGAGCTTTATCTTCAACAACTTTAGAAGTCATACAGAGTGTTTTGATCTTAGGGAGTCACAATATTATTAATATACACATGCTCTGAGCATTCCTGCAGCAAAGAAATCTGACTTGGATCAGCTCAGCATGTTCCAAGCGGGCCAACACCATTTTGCAGGTTATATCATAGAGTACATTGAGAAATGCCCTCCTGGAAGACAAATTTGCTCTGGGTCCTCTGTCTGGGGAGGAGGGGGTCCCTGATGCAGAGCCTCTCCAGGCCTTTTCAGGAGTCCGTTTGTGAAGGGCCACTACGGGAGGCCACTACCATATTCTGACTGTGGTAGCATTTACGTGAAGACCCGAGTGCCTGAGGGTTCGGGGTGGAGTGACCAGAAAAGAAGATACTGGAATGTCCCTAGGGTCCTTTCTAGAGTGCTGGATTAAGAAAAATTGTGGGCCAGGTGTAACGGCCTAAGCCTATAATCCCAGCCACTCCAGGCCCTTTCAGGAGTCCATTTGTGAAGGGCCACTATGGGAGGCCGAGAGGGGTGGCTCACTTGAAGTCAGGAGTTTGAGACCAGCCTGGCAAACATAGCAAAACCCCATCTCTCATAAAAATACAGAAATTAGCAGGTGTGGTGGTGTGCACCTGTAGTCTCAGCTACTATGGAGGCGGAGGAACAAGAATCACTTGAAATGAACCTGGAAGGCAGAGGTTGCAGTGAGCCGAGATCATCCCACTGCACTCCAGCCTGAGCAACAGAGGGAAACTCTGTCTCAAAAACAAAAAGAAAAGAAAAATTGTAAAAGAGATCTTGGGTTTCTTTCCAGAGCAGTGCTGATTCAACAGAAAATAATGCAAGCCAAGACGTAATTCTAACTTTTATAATAATAAAAGTAAAAAGAGGCTGGGCACAGTGGCTCATCTGTAATCCAAGCACTTTTGGAGGTCAAGGTGGGCGGATCACCAGGTCAGGAGTTCTAGAGCAGCCTAGCCAACATGGTGAAACCCTGTCTCTACTAAAAATTAGCCAGGCATAGTGGCATGAACCTGCAGTCCCAGCTACTTGGGAGGCTGAGGCATGAGAATTGCTTGAACCTAGGAGGTGGAGATTGCAGTGACCTGAGATCGTGCCACTACACTCCAGCCTGGGCGACAGAGCAAAACTCAGTCTCAGAAAGATAAAAAAAAAGTAAAAAGACATCTTTGAAATTGATTCAATAATATATTTTATTTAATTTCATATACCACAAATTTTTATTTCAACATATATTCAATGTAAAATCACATGATTAAGGTTATTAGTAAGTCTTTGAAATTCAATATGTATTTGACACTCAGAACATATCTCAGGGCCCTGAATCCACAAAGTGACCTCAAGACAGAACTGTTAGTGTGCAAGGAGGTTTCTAGGAGGCCGTGCTGGGACCTCACCTCAGATAATTACAGGGGTCCTCATCTTTGGGGAGGGAGACTTGCTGGGTAAAGAGGGAGCCATGGGCCAAGAGACTTACCTATCTGCTAAATTGCAGGGACGGGAAAACAAAGAGCCTGGTGACTTCCTCAAGTGATGAGGCTGGCCCTGCTTCATTGTTCAGACTTCATCCCAAAGAAACACCCCCTCTGTCCCATGAGCATGTGGCAAAAAATAGTGGGCCTTGGTTTTTCTTCTTCTGGAAAGTGGAAAAAGGAAAAGGCCACATGGCTAAGCCGGCCAACATCTGGTCCTGCCCGCCTCTTTCCCATTGCCCACTGGGCTTGAGCTGGGCCCCTAGTGGTGGCAAAATATGCCTCCTGGTGGTGGCAGATGTCCTCCCAATTCTGGTGCTGTCCTCATGGACCTAGGCAACCCGCTGATGTCACCAAAGGAAGTGTGTGCTTTAAAAAACTTCTGTTCGCTGAAGTTCCGTGGGAATGACGCTGAAAAGCAAAGCCAAGTTCACCAACCTTTTAAAAAATGACAAAGCTGCAAGAACAAGACTGTGTGTTTTGGAGGCCAGATCCTGCTCACACGCAGGGCAGTCAGTACAAGACAGCTCCAGAAGACCCACTTCACTGGGGCCAGGGTGGTGTGGGTGCAAAAGCTGCAGAAGAACAAGGAGGGATTGGCTACACACGAATCTGCTCAAAGGGAAATAAGGAAGACTTGAGCCATTAGCCTTGGCGGGACTCAGCGTGAGTGGATCCAATGCACTGAATTCTGAAGCTGCCAATGGTGCCTTATTCTCTCTAGAGACAGAGGTCAGCACAATAAGCAGAAAGGACAGACGCGTTTACTTGGTGGCAACAAAGCTACCATGCTTCTTCCCTGGACTTGGAGACATTCTGAGAAGATTGGGAATTATTCCCAAGAAGGAACGCTAATGGGAGTGATTGGAATTCATTTGTTCAATAAGACTGTACTTACTGAAAGACTGCCTTGTGCCAAGTGATGTGCTTGATACTCAGGATACAATAGCGGGAGCACCCAGACCCCAGACCCTCCCTTGTAAAGCTTACTTTCTGCAATGGAGATGGCCGGCAATCACATCTGCCCCTCCAGTCTGGGAATTCTAAAGGGAGCAGCTCTTGATCCTCCAGCAACATAGCTTTGGGACAAGACAGTTAACACTCTAAGAAGCTGGTAGAACAACTCAAGGCTTCCTTATCCAAACAGGTCAAAGAGGCAGAAGCACAAAGAGATGACAGTGTCGAATTGTGGAAAGCCACTGGTAACTCCAGGTTTGGGCGCAGACCCTGAGACTAGCAAGGGACCAGAAAAGAGAAAAGGGGCAGTGTCTTTGCCTCTGGATGACCACAGCTTTTTTTTTTTCAATAAGTAATATGACAAGATGGATGTGCTCTTAGATCCCTTTTGGTTTTACAATTTTAGATGAACTCAGGAATTATAGATCCATAATCAGGAGTTAAGGGAAAAGTAGGGACTCCCAGAAAAATTTCAGAAATTTTCAGCTCTTTCAACAAAGTCATTAATGTCCCCACACAGAAATTACCATCAGGCTACTGGGTCTCACCTCCTAGGACCCCCATTGCTGGAGCTGATCTTTTCCATTAAGAAAACCAAGGGTGTCAGGGTCAGAAGCTGGTATTACAAGATCTAAGAACTCCACTAGATGCTGCCTGTGAAGCAGCATCACTGGGGTAAATACCGGGGGTGGGAGGGTTGTCTCATGCCAAGAAGATTAAGGATACAAACTCATGTGGGTGGGTTAAGGAGTGGAACGTTTCATAGGCAGAAGAAAAGAGAGAGGAGAGCAGCTCTGTCTTGCAAAAAAACAGGTGTCTGAAAGGGAAAAGTGGCCCACAGTGGACTGCAGCAGATTTTATAAACAGGCTTGAGGAGGTGGTGTCTGATTTACGTCGGGCCCACAGACTGGTTTGAGAAGGTGTGATGTTTACATAGCAGGAGGGGAAGGCTGGTTGCCCCACCCTAATCTTATTATGTAAGTGGGATTTCCACTTGGCCAGTGCCATCTTGTCTGCTCCTTACTATACATAGGGCTGGAGAAGAGAAGGTGGAGCCACCATTTTGATCATGCCTATTCACAGGTAGCCTTTTTCTATTGGCCCAACTGCCAGCTTTCACCCGTGCAAACTTCTAGCTTGCTTATCTATGTCTGCAGCTCAATTTTACTGGCTACTCTTTGTTAGAAAAGACAATGATTTGGGGGCTGCTTTTCATTAAAAGGAAGACCTTACTGGAGACTCCTGTACCCTCTCTATCTGCCTAAGTACTTTTTCTTTACTCCTATATCACTTGGGCACTCTGGAAGTTTCATAGCTGAACTCAATGAAGCTGGGGCTATCACCTTGCCCAGTGTCTGCCATACAGAGCACAGAAAAATTGGCACTAAGGAGACTCTCCCCAAGGGCATGTCTGCTAGGGATCCTTAGCAGAGAAATTGGCTGAGCTCTGGCCCTCCTGACACTCAGGCTTGTGCTTTGCCAAGCTGGGTAAAATTGCTGCTTGCAGTGAGATCAAAGGCGAATCTGCAACCTTGCAACTGAAAGGTCAATGTCAGGGTCAACCCGTTGAAGGTGTGCTTTCAGCAAGGGTAGGATTTTCTCAGCCAACTTTAGGTAAATGAAATCAGCCTAGAGGGAAACAAATCTTTCTGCCAAACTCCATTTGAAAGAACAAAGCTCTCTTTAAGACTCTGAGAAAAGGACAGAATACCTTTAAAAAAAAACCTTTTAAACATAATACAGCTGGATAAGAAATGTTAAAAGCTAGAAAGGCTGCTCAAGAACAATAAAACAAATAGAAAGTTGTTTAAGAAATTAGTGATGCCAATGTGATGTTTTACAATGCCCCTGGATCTCTTAACTTATGTGAATAAACTTAGAACCTAGCCTGAGTCTGATTTTCTTCTTGAGATCAACACAGCATCTTTCTAACCTAAAAGCAAATAGCTTCAGAAGTGCTCAGGAAATGACTGCTAAATGGGTTAAGTGTAACTCTTAGTTACACATCTGTTCCTCTGAGCTTAGAGTTCCTTGTACTTGAAAAACAAAGATTCTCCCTCCCCCAACCAACCTACCTTATAGCTAAGCTCTTAATGTAATTTGCATTTGTCAAAATAACTTCTAAAGCTTCCTTTGTCTGCCCTGAGAACTCCATCTGTAGTGTGACTGCCAGTTTCTGGTCTCCTGAATTGGTTTTCATACCTTGTCCCACCACCCTACATGCTCAAGGAAATCCCAGAGAGTCAAGGTAGAGAAACCCAAGTCTGTTATCCTTGCCACCTCAAATCTTTAATTGACCGGGACAAGGAGTGTGTGTCTACTTGCAAAGTAAATCCCTATGACCCCAGGCAGATGCCAGGATTTTATTTTTCTTGCTAATTAGAAAGCTGGATATTCAGAGTTGAGGGGCTCAATTACAGGATACCGTTCTTGGAAGTTCAGCTACCGAAGAATGGAAAGGGCGGTTTCATTCTGAATATTCGCTTCCAGATGTAATCATGCACATGCTGCTTGTAAGTGTTCTGTTCAGACACACAACTCAGCACACACACTCATACATATGCCACAAACACTCACACTCCTACCCACCACACAAACACAAACACACACTCAAACCACCACCCACCACACACACACATCCATACACACACTCACGAACATACAACCATATAAACACAGGCCTACCCAACACACAAACATCCACACACTCACACCCTTACCCAATACACATACATCCACACACCCCTACTCAACACACATCCACATAAACACAACCCTACCCAACACACACACACACACACACACACGCACTCAAACCACTACCCACCACCTATACATCCATACACACATACTGAGGGACTGTGTTAAAAAAACCTCTTCTTCCCAGGTCTGCTGGGGAGGGGTTTCAAATGCAGGAATTTCCCAGCTCCCCACCTCAGGTGGCTAGAGCTCTTTGAGCACCTCCTCCACACGGGCCACGTAAAATTCTTTGATCTTTCCGTGGGTGCCAAAGCCAGGTAGGGCTCTTTTGTCCCAAATTCCCACTGAAAGCTCTGGGAGGAGGGGGCTCTATAACTCAGGGTTGTAAAACAAGTAGCCAATCCAGTATCAGAGTCAAAGATCAATCAATCCAGAGGAAGTTTAAAAGAACTCCTCTCATTGGACGAGAATGAATGGAGAGGGAATAACCCAAGGGTTAAAACTTCAGCTGGTCCTACCTGAACAGATTTCCCTCTCTGGGTTTCCCTCCCACAACAGCGTAGAAGCTGTCTTCTCTCTATCTCTCTGTCTAATAAATCGCTGTTCCACAAAACTCTTTGGATCCACAATTTTATTTGGACAGTAAACTCACCGCACCTCTGGGATACCTTCCCCATTCTTTGGGATTAGGTAGGCCAAGAACCTACAAGCTGGATACTCCCCTGGTAACAATACCCCTACCCAACACACATCCACATAAACAATAAACACAGCCCCACCTAACACACAAACATCCACACCCTAACACCCCTACCCGACACACATTCATACATGCACACTCCTACTTAATACACATCCACATAAGCACAGCTCTACCCAACACACAAACATTTGCTCACACCCCCACCCAACACACACGCACATCCATACAGAGCCCTACCTAACACACAACATCCACACATAACCCTACCTGACACACATACATCTACGCAGAGCCCTACTCAACACACACACATCCATACACTCACACCCCTACTCAACACTCACACACACACAAACACTCCTATCCAACACACACACATATTCATACACACACCCCTACTCAACACACACACTCACACCTCTACTCAACACAAACACACATCCACATACACACCCCTATCCAACACACACACACTCCTACCCTACAGACAAATACACATACACATATACAAACACACCTCTACCCAACACGTACACACTGACTCATAAACACACTCTTACACACTTACACAACACACACACCTCTACTCGCATAGTCCTTCTCATACATACACATACACACATTTCTGCTCACAGGCCTGCCTTGCTGTCCCATTAACTCAGCTCTTTTTCTTATTGAGTCACACTTATGAATAAGATCTGCCCAGACTTCTTCAAGTCCTGGTGACCCAACTAACTAGTAGCTTAGCTGAGAAGTCACTCCCCAGTTTCCTGATTCTCAGATCCTAGGAGCAAGTGTCTCCTT